TATTATGTTTCATTATTAGTGTAATAGAAAGCGAAAAATTTCAGCTTGGTAATAAAAAAGAAGATGTTTAACTGTAGCTTGAAAATAGTTATAAGACGTTCAGAGTCAATAATCTATGGATAACAGACTTATCAACTGGGCTTACAATTTAGATCAGTCTATTTATTACCTTTTTGCTTCTCTCAAACAAGTTTGTTCGAATATTAGGACAGACATATTTTCGCATCGCCCTTTCCCTGATCTGAATTCGGTGTGCACTGTCTGTAATTATCGTAATCGTGATTTGTAGGGCGTAGTGGTGCACATTTTATTTTCTTTTCAACTATTTATCCGTCTTTCCCTTTTGCTGTTGCCACCTAACTGGCGAATGTGCTTAAGAGCTTAAGAAGTGAATCAATTACGTCGAAACACGCCACCATTTGCAGCGCGTGCAGGCGATTTGAACAAATTCGGCGCACAAGTGGCAAAGGTTTTCACTTTGCCACATTAACTCAATGTTTTGTTTGAGTCAACTAAGATCCAGCTTTCGGCCCATAACTGATACGCCAGCTACTAAGCTGCTCGGCTTGGGCATTACAAGCAAAACAACTTAGGAACCCGTAAGAGCTATGTGTCCGTTTGAGCCGCCTACCCAAAAAGTCGCTCACTGCCAAGCGATTAATTTGATTAGCGGCAGCGGCGGAAGCTGTTCTACTCGTATTAAGCGAGCAGAGCGGCCCACACGCGGCGCATGCGCTCAGCAACTTGACGCCAAGATGTAGAGCGATTCGGGCATTGAAATTGGAATTGAAGCAGAAACCGAGAATGACAGACTGACTGACTGTTTGATTGATGGTGTGAACTTTAATTGCTCTTAGAATATGTTGAGTTCGTTTTTAGGGGGAAGTCGGGAGGGGGAATACAGGTATTTGCTATGCGCGCGTAAACATTTGCTATTTGCCTTGCTAGCTGACCTTCACATTGTGCGGCACTTGTGCTTTTGAAATAAAATACCCCAGAAACCAATCTGTGGCAAACAAGCGAGTGAACTTACATAGTTACGCACAATTCAAGACACCAGATCGGAGCTCAACTCATCACAGTGATAATGCAAAGACAACGTCGACATCCACGCCTCTTCAAGTACTCGCACACTTGAGAGAGCGCTGATAGCAGTGACCGATAAATAACAAGTGGCCACCGGAGTCTATATACTTGTAGAGCGAAAGTATTTTCTATTGGAGCATTATATGTAGAATGTGAAAATAGTGCGTGCTGGATTGTTAGGTTCCATTCAAAAATAAAGCACACACAAGCAAAACTTGTAAATAGCGGGGCACATATTTGTACGATGATAGCATAGCCCATGTTTTATGACCACTTGTATCATAAATAAATGGTGTGAGGTTTAGGGAAAGTTCTTGATAAGATATGCTTGGATAGGAATTGAAATGATATATAGTACATATAAATACCTATATTGTATATAGAGCAGTTTTATATCAATCATTTTAATAGATGCACGTATGGCTTCATCTGATTTGAGTATTGTTTTAAATTTCAATTCAACTTTCCATTGATAACACAATTATTTATTCCTTGTCTGTTTTTATTTATAAATTGTTCATATGTTCATATTCACATTTTCTGCAGCTGTATTTTACTCAGATATTCTTTGCTCTGAAAGAGGTGAATATCGGATAAATACCGTCCATTTTATGACAAATTTATTACAGTAAAAACTGGCGTCGTAAAAATGGTCGTATGAGCGCAGCAGAATTCTTATGTTGTCTGCCACCCGATACAAAGATAGTGTTTGCAATATTATTGATCGGATTCCAATTCCACACTATAAATCACAATTTTTTCAGCAAAACTAAAACAATTCAGCGTTCCTTTGCAATGAATATTTCCCTCTAGAATCAAATCTCAGAATCTTCCACGATCTGTCCACGCATAAGAAAAGGTAATTCTTGGTGTTATTCTTTATTTCAGATCTGTCGTGGGTTGAACAATTATTACATTTTCTAAGAACTCTTTTGATGATGATTGCGGGGTGATTAGAACACTGTCGAACAAATCCACATTGTGGGATACCGCTTCTTAACGAGCTAAGCTATCAATTTATCCTGATACAGGTAGTATCAGATTAGTTGTTTAATGCAAAAAGTTTGGTTTCTTTAAAGCCGAACATGGTATTTTAATTCGCAAATGAAGATGAAAATTCCGCTCTAGTAGGAATTATCAGCTACTTGTATTATTGTAATTCTGTTAGATTTAATGCCTGCTTAGGTAGTACGGTTGTATCTTCTTACGTACGTTGGAAATACATATTTATCGGCATTATCAAGGAGAACATTTTTTTAACAAACTCAAAACAGAAATTACCTATAAGTATGGGTTTTTTAAAGTAAAATATTTTATTTCCCGGTTATAATAACCCTAATTCTCAACTGTAGAATTGTATTACAAGTATGACTCACATTTTTTGTTAGCTTCATGCAATTTTTGCTACTTTTCTTTTATTCTGATGCCACGTTGTATAAAAATGATTTAGCGTAAATGATTCAGTCGAATATTATAACATATATAAATGATTGAAACATATGTGTATAAATGGTGGGCAAGTGTGATTTAAATTCCTGCTAATCAAATGAATCACAAGATCAAGCAGGCTACTTAGAAAAGAAACTAATCGATACGATAGACTCACGTGATTCATTTGAAGGTATTAACTCACGCGGGACTCACGTGTGTCATACACATGCTATTTACGGCGACCAATACTTGGTTCCCACCAGTCGCTCTACAACATAATTCACCGAACTTGACACTTTACAACAACATTGACAATAACAACAAAAGTCTGGCAAACTGCAGCCGCCGGCGACGTTGTCATTTGTTGTTGTTGACCGAATATGCAATTAGCCGGAGGTCGTTGTAATTCAGCTTGTATTCGCATTTATCGGTTGTTTGTTGTTTTTTTTTGCAATTCTGGTCGTTGATATATAAATGGGTGGGGCCCCGAATAGACAAAAAAAGAGCTTTTGTTATTTGACAATGTTTTGGCAACAATTAGCTTAACAAATTGTTATTAAATTGTACAATGGACGCGAATTGATTGCTCGTTTTTGTTCCTTTGTATCCAGAGTGGGTGTACACAAAAGGGACACAGAGACGTCAGGTGGCAGGGCCACAGCCAAAGCCACACTACAAACAAAATACGAATTTGAAACTGTCAACCGACAATCAGCAACATGCATCCTGAAACCGGCCTGTGCGGCAACCCTTTGTTGCACTCCAAATAGGCGAACGGGTTTAGTTTTTCAATTTGGCGCCGGACAAGATTTTAATTCAACTGCCAATATCTTTTTGTTTGATCATCACGTTTTCGTTCGCTCTGTTCTGCTCTTGAAGTTCCTCTGCATTGAACTTTTTTTTTTGCGTTGCAGGCCGACTGGTTGACTGTACCGAAGTAGTTTTAAGGCGTTGCCACGAAGCACGTGGCAGTTGCATGAAGTTTTGATTTGAAATGAAAGTATGCCTCCGGCAAACGTGCGGAGGAGTTCACCATGACAGAAAAGAAAGCAATTCATTAAGCGCAAATTGCAATTGAAATGCAAAAAATGCGGCTCTGTGGGTTGAGCGCAAAGTACTCGTATTAAATAATTTATTTCATTTAGCTTAACCGCTCAAGCAACGATTTATACAGAATGTATTTGCTGCAGTTTATGTGCTTTGTGGCTGTGCGGTTTGGCGGCTGCTTCAACCACTGCAACCACATATAATGTACAAACATACACACAAATAAATCCAATGATGAGCTTCAGACGCACTTGAACTGCAATTTATATATGGCTAGTATGAAAGATCCAGCAAGGGCTAGCACAAATAACTAATTAAGCGAATGGTATGAAATTCAAATGAAGTACAATTTGTATCCCTCAAATCAAGCATGGTTTCAAGGAAATGAATAATTTCGAAACGGAACTCTTTTTAACCGACTTCAAAAGAGGAGGAAGTTAGCAAAGTTAGCACTTTCGACTCTATTTAGAAGCTGGTGCTTTAACAGAAGATGATACTTTGATACTTTTTATTACTTCAGCAATTTCGTATATTCTTTATTTTCTTTAAACCTTAGTGAGTTTCTGAATTATCCCAGAACACATGGAAAAGAACGAAAGAGCTAGAGGAATTTTCAATCAGTATGATTTGTAACGTTTCGAAAATGGAACTGCTCATCCAGATTGTAGGGCGTACGAACTGGCCGAATGGCAAAAAAAACTCCGTCACTAGATATTACTGATATTTTGTTAGCTTCTTCTTCTGAGTGTTATTTAAATTGAACTTGGAATTATAGCTTTTTGCATAATTTTCTTCTACGTCTAGAGCCTATGTTTCTGAAGTAAAAATTAAAATTCATAAATAGCAGCTAAATCAGTCGATATTGCTTGGTCGTGGCCATGGTTTGGCCATGGTTACACATCAAAAGGGTCTAACAATAAAAACCATTACTTTAGACTCCAAACACACAACAAAACACAAACAAATTTACATGTCACCTTTTTAAAATTTTGGTTCCGAAAACAAACGAAAATAAAATTAATTTACGATTTTGAAATGCTTCATAGCTGTAGCTTTTGCATTAGCTTGCGCAGTGGTGCTATAATAATAGCCGTGATCAGTGCCTTACTTTATGGCATCAGTGTAGCAATTGTAACAATGTTCTTGTTCAATAAAATGCCAAGTAAGTCCGGCCAAGCATATGCGTGAGAATTCATTGATTCATTGATCACAAACGCTAACGCTACAGCACAGATACTAAATCCTTATCTGACCACAAAGGTACAAATCAGGATATGTATTGGGTCGGTAATCGGATTACTCTCCTCAGTAGTGCTACTTTTTGCAGCCATTATAGTAAGATTCGGCGTGTGTCTCTAATTTCTACCTGAATCTGTCTCTCAATAGATTTGTTTGCAGGAGATACCCTTCTTCGTGCTACCATGGCTGGTTTGCAGTTCCATCCACATCGTGATGCAGATCATTATCAATATGATGGCCGTGTTGCGCAATGGACCCGCCTATTTAATAATGATGGGCTTGTTGTTTATGAGTAAGGAGGCAGTTTTGAAAAGGATTTGTTCGATTTCATTGATTTCGTGTATTCGCAGTAATCTATATCTACATGTGGTTGGTAATTTTCTCGTATCTTGTGGAACTGTTCGACTACTGATTATAAAGGAGCGTACTTATTCCGAATGCTTAATAATTGTTGACAGAAAATTTCAAGATTGTCTCTCAAGTGTCAAAATTCTGAACAAATATATTTTTTATTTAGTGTAAGTCGGGCGAAATCGTAATTTGTACAAAAAATATGTTTTTCGAACATTGTTGCTTTTGCTTTTCCTTGCGATCGGGCTGCCTAACGATTGCCGCAACAATCATAGCGTTCTACTTTGTCGAGATTACCGTTCATGGCGAGCACAGCATTTTTATATGTAAGAGACTGCTGTATCCCTTCGTATTCAATAAATTATACAAAATGCCATTGACAGATTCCAAGAAAGCACGTTGGGTTAAGATTATGCAGGGGCTGATAAACGCCAATGGTATACTTTCGTCCTTGCTCATGATGTATGGGGCCTACAGAGTAAGCTACACGCTCTACCTTAACATTTTTAAAGATGTCAATTTTGTTATTTTTCAGTACAAAAAGTGTCCAGTACTTACATGGCTAGTCGTATTTCTGCTTATATTTATCCTGTATGTCATATTTTGTGTCCTTGACATATTCAGCGCACATGCACGAACGGGTATACTGGGCGCCCAGTTTGGAATCATATGTGAGTGCAACACACCCGATAACTGCTTTTAAATTAATTCTCACACCATCTCCGTTTCAGTAATTCTCCTATACTGTTTATTAATAGTGCACTCCTTCTACACGCAAATGAGAGAATGATAAACCCTGATAATCCCAATAAAATGTACTGGAGAAAAAGTTTTGTGTTTTTAACTGAACAACTTATTGAGTTTTGGTCTAAGTCTGCTTTGCAGCTTTGTAAAACTTTTCAATATACTCGTACATAGGTGCCTTAAGTAGATCCTGTTTTTCTGCAGCTTACGAGTCAGTTGCTATACTATTGGCACACTTAGCTTTATAATCTACTTCACCCAATCAAGTACTTTCTTGGTAATCCCCTCGTTGGACGATCGGCAAACCAAATGCTGACAATTCGGACCTTATACGTAGGGCATGAAAGTTTCCGTCCCCCCTCTTTCCTTAGCCACCACTATATGGATAGTTGCATATGTATGCCTCATCATAGGCTTTAGTGCCGTGTTCTTCATGTTCTTATTTTTAAGAAACTTCAACAACAAGTAACCCAATTATGCCAGAGCTCCGAGAAGATTTCAGCTTTAATTCACGCCTTTTCCTTCAGTTTTGCTTTTGTATACACAAATGCACCTGGTTGTTGTGTCCCATTATAATCAACTGAATCACATTATTAAATTACAAAAAAAAAGTATTCCCTAAATTACAAGTACAACTTTTGAATGTTATTTTTAAGAATATTGCCTTAAAAAAGATGGAAAGGCAAATAGTTTTCATCAACCACATCATACCACTACTTATATTGTAAGGCTGTCAGAAAGTACGGTTCAAAAAGATCATTATTTATAGTATAGCTTAGCTAAAATATCTTATTGCTCTGAATTCGCATTATTTTCTACTAAAAAGGCCAATGATCGATTTCCATTTATTCAGCACTATATATAAGATCACATGAAAGGAATGTTTCAAATACTTTCCACACAGAGTTGGCCATGTGTCTTCTTTTACTAAATTATTTTACAAAATTTACAGTTCGTTCAGATATTTAGTGAGTAAGAGTGTAATTTTAAAAACACAAAAATATATTACTTTCTGATTTATATTTTCTTGGCAATATCAAAATTTGGCCGCGCAAAGGTTTCGGACACTCTGATTTTAGCGCAGCTCCAACACTAACAACAAAATGGCCTGTCGCTGCAAGTATTTTATCAAAATTTTAGAAAAATGCTGCTGTTGCGTCTCGTTGCGTCTCGGTGCACTGCTCGTGGGCTGCATTTTTCTCACCTGGTTCTTCTATCTAACTGTCGGCTCGGCCTTTGCCATGGAATGCATTTTCCCAAATGAGTACCAACGTGATGTGAAGGAGGGATATGGACCACCGGCGGCCCTGAAAACAACGATGGTCTTCTCCTTTTTTGGCTTCTTGACAGCCGGAATGGTTTGTCTAGGCGTGCACAATGTAAAGGGCCCAACTCACTAGCCACCCAATACATTAGCTAAATAATTATTCATTTTTCTCGCAGAATAACGAACTGATGTTCATACCCTTTCTGGTTCTCGTACCGCTATATATAATCGTTCACATTCTAGCTATGGTCCTGTACAAGTTCGTCTGGAGTGTTGTCTTCATATTTGTGCTGACGATTAGTAAGTACAAGATTTTCGCTGCATTTAATTAACTGAATTGCCATATTTGCAGTCATATTGATATATTGCTGGTGCGTTATCTGGTCATACTATGTGGAGCTGCGTTTCGCCTATGATGAGGATTTGCCACCACCGACATCCTTTAGAATTCGAACGAGATAGGTCGCTCTCAAGGCATATACAAATTTTCTGTACCAAATCTTGCTAGTATTTTCGGAATAAAAAATGCATAACCAAACCACTTTTACAATCTCTTGTTACCTTTTTAAGCCTGTTCCACCCCATCGTGTTGAGCCATTTAAGAACTCATTTTAAAATAAGTATGAAGGATTTCATTTTCCCGAAGTGGAATGAGTTTTTGATAAAGAGACAGTTACATGCTTTTGTTTTCATTCGTTCTTGCTTATTAATTCAAGCAGCGACCGAGCGTGTGATCTATGATATGACAAGCATCTCACATACTTGTAATACTAGTTGTAGTTTTTAGGGTCATGCGTAATGTCTGTTCTATATTATGTACATACATAGAAAAGTATGAGTAAAAGCATGTCGCTTTATGCTATTTACAATTATACAAATTTATACACAATATAGCGCACTTACCTTTGGCAGCGAGGCAAGCACCTGCTGTTTAACATCCCAGACGAGACGCTCCGATGGAAACTGCAGACACTTGTAGACGTTCAGCTCCGGCACATGGATGCGCACCAGCAGCCAACCGTCTCGTGGCTCTGGCGGCGGCTCATCGTCAAACGCACCCGGCCCGGACGTATTGTCCATATTGGCCGGGTTCTGTTTGACTTTGGGCGTAGGTGGGTGATACGTCGTAATTTTGACGGTTTTTCTTGTCCAATGTCACGAAGAAAATATATAAAAGTTTTTTGTATTTTGTTTTTTGTTTTTAGCGCTTTTGCGTTCTCGTTGTTATACAATCGACTCCTTTTCTCAAGAATGTATATTATGTTGTGAATCGTTTTATCGTTCGGTTATTTTTAATTCATTAGTATTTACTTAATTGAAGTGGTTGCCTCTGGCATCCTGCATGCATTTCGTTTGCACAGTTCGTTGAGAAAATGTTGTTGAGTTGGCCGCACGATGGGAATTGACTCGGGCATGTTGCTATAAGGAAATGAAAGGATAAACAAGAATTTAATTAGTAAGGAGTGTTACCTAATTATTTTGTATTTATTTTAAAAATAATTTAATCAAAGGTATATTAATTACAGTAAAAACCCTTAAACGAGTTTTCACTCTAAATTATTTCGAAAACATACCCCATGGATGAAACTCTTTCAGTTCTAAACGTGGTCCCCGCATAGGTTTAAGAACAGTCTTCAAGACGAATTTGTCTATATGGATCTATAATCATATACGGGGATATAACATTAGATCTGCTGAAGTCTGCCACGCATCCCATGCAAATGTACAATAAATAAATAAACTTTGCTAATTGTAAAAATATCCATTGATTTGAATGGAATATTTCGTATTACTTGTAAAGACTCAACACATAATTCCTCATATACTTATGTATATAATCACATTGCATTCTTTTTAAAAAACATCCGACCTAAGTCAAGTATAATGTGCTTAGTGCTTGGTTAATATCCATAAAGTCATTCATTTAGTTATTCGATCACATTACATACATTTCGATTTGTAAGCCTATTTTCTATTCAGTAGTCAAAACTCGTTTCCCAGCTCTCTGCACGGAAAATTAGCTTGTAATTGGTTTACTTTCAACTAGTCGCTCACCTCGTTACCTCCTAACCCTACGCTGCCGCGCCTCCCCTACCCCAGCCCCAGCCCCAGCTCGGCAACTAAACTGCCTACGCACTTAGCTGTCTATCCGCTTCATCAGTCAATCCGCTTGGCTGCCGCCGTTACTGTCATGTGTCAGTCGCGCAGACACTAAGACACTTCCCCATGCGTTGTGGAAGGCACATAAAGCATTTGTTGTTGTCGCTGCTAATTACGCTTTGATATTGACATTTTATAGCCGTGCGTCTGCAACATGTTGCAGAGTGGCAACCAACAGCAAACAAGCAGCAGTAGCAGTAGCAGTAGTCTGCGTTGCAAATTAAATTCACACGCTAACCTAAAAAAAATATACTAAATGAAAATAATGAACAAAAAAAAAAAAAAAAAAAAAAAAAAATAGCAGCAGGCAGTCAAGTTTTATAGCGTGGAAATGTGGGCCGCGACAACCACTGACAGCCACCGCAACTGCACCGCCTGCCACACATTGTCGCATTGCATTGGAGAGCGTTTGTGTTGATTGCATGAACCGGTTACTGGGCTGCGAAAATATACGGGTATGCGCTGCTAGTCCAGTAATTACGCACAATAATGGTTCAGACCAATTATTCTTAGTGGGTGATTTACTGGCAAGTGAAAGTACAAGTGGATGGTGGCATAAAAATAATGACTAACTTTATTATGGGTTTTCAGCTTGTTCTACAAATTCTTCATTGTTTGCTTCATTTGTTGGTTTTTGTTCGTCTTGGGTCGGTAACCCACGCATAAACAATCAAACATGTCACGGTCAAGCAAAGCTATCGCTGCTATCCAAATGTACAAGTATGTATATGCACATAAATTAAATGCGCCGCCAAATTGTATTCTAACAAGTGGAAAAAGACATTCGTTTACCTTGGCCGTCTGCCACTCGGCTTGTCAGTCAAAATAATGCCAAGCGAAATTATCAGCAGCACACGACGCTGACGACTTCAGGTGCGCGATAAGAAGCGAACAAAACGTGGCCAAGGCATTGATAAGGTGGCGCAAATAGCATTACAATTCCTGATAACACAAATATATATAATGCTTGGGCATTAATTGTACGTTAACAATGAGAAATTCGCATTACGCATACTCCTCGTAACTCCACATAAATAGTCAATGAACTTAATTGCTCATTTTCGATATTTGATATTTTTATGGCCGCCAAATATATATAGTGTATACTATACTATACACCTTATCAGCGGAAACTTCTTTAATTAAATTTCAGTTCTCGCAACGTGAAATATCTTGAGGATGCAATACTTGGCGCCAAGTTTCCTGACATTTGCTGTGCTTTTCATTTCTTTTTTATGGCCACTGCTAAATCGCTTTTAATTGAAAAAGTTTGGCAACGTCGTTGTCGTTGCCGCTGCTGTCGCTCCAGCGGAAAAGTTAAACGCAGTTTGTCAATACTTTTAATGATGGCCATTTAATCCCACTTTCAATTGGCTGCCATATGGACCGTCGCTGATTTATACTCGAATTAAGCTGCTCTCAATTATATGCCATTACTATTGCGCGGGGGAAACAATAATACTTATTAATAATAATAATAGTACATAATAACAAGCGGTGGCTATTTACATATGCTGTCCCCAACGATTTTTCACTTTAAACGCATTTGGGGCGCGTTGATTGAAAAATTATGTTTTGACCTTTGGCTGTAATATGGGCGCAAAAACTAACTAAATTTATCTAGATTTATGTGCTGGTCACATAATTTAGGCACAGCGGTACAATCAGTTTATTTGCTTTTTCCTTGCTGCACAACTGTCTCTCCTGACACTCGACTTACTGTGCGAATTCGGAATATTGCGCATACGCCAGGTGGCATAAAAATGAAATAACACTGGATCCAGGGGCTACTTGTGCACTCGAAAAGTCAATTGTAGCAACTGACCGGACGTCCGCCTGGATTTTCAGTATCGAAACTACACAGAAAAAATCTATGCTATTCTGAATAATTGTACTGAGTAATGATCAGCCCAAATTTTGCCATAAATGTTTACAATTTTGAATGCAAATGTACATATATTTCAGAGGTGCAAGCCAAAATATGTGACATAATAATGGTACGTATAAATATATACTTGTATGTCTATAAATAAATTGATATAAAAGTTGAAAATGTTCTTTATGTCTATTACACCATATTTGTGCGATCAAATATAATGAGACAGCACTGTCATGCATTACAAAATCGCATCCGAAATCGGCTGATTTTTGAGTTCTAAACAAGTTAAAAATTGTGATAAGTGCTCTTCTGGAGACGACACGTTCCGTCGCGACGATTTAGCCGATAAAGGAATCATAAAGACATCAAATGCGAAAGAGGCTACTGAGCTACTTAACACTTTTCTGATCAAGATCAGACACATACAAGTATACTATTAAATAAAATGCATTAAATAAAAATACAGCCATCCCTTTCTTCTGATTCAAGTAATCCTGGAATTGACTGGAGTGCTGCTGTGATAGCTGCATAGCTTGTTGAAGATTTTGACAACTAGTAGAGTATATTGGTACGTCTCTTTGGCGAAGTGTTAAGTAAATTTTAAATGCTGTCTGCCACTCGAAGCGCACCTCTGTTGCTTCTAAAACCTACGCGCAGTGCCAGAGCCAGTCACTTGAGTGCTTGCTTGCTCCGCTGTTTGCCTTAAGTAGTTGTGACACTTGCCTCTTACATTGTGTCATCTTTGTTGTCAAAATTGCTGAAGTGACATGGAGCGGTCGTGACAGCAGCCTAGACAGGCGAACTTAAAGTCGACTGTTTAGGTTAAAGCTTGCACCTAAATTGTGCTTAAAACAAGAGAGAACGCTACAGTCGAGCAAGCCCGACAGTGTAATACCCTGTACCCAGGTAAACTTCCGTCACTGAGTTATATGCGCCCATAGCAGCAGCAAATAGAGGAAGAAGAAGAGCGAACTTGTTGCTGCAGTTTGGGGAGGTTGTACTGGCGAGAATTTGTTTGGCTAATAACTTTTCTTAGAATTGACTGAATTAAATAAAATCTTACACAACAGTAGACAATTATATATTAATTATGTGTGCAAAGTTTGGTTTAGGTAGCATTTGAAATGTGGACGCTATTGACGAAATTCTGTAGCGGGGGAAGGGGGGGAAAATTCCAAAAAAAAAAATAAACTCGTCCTTTCTCGGACCTAGGAGAATCTGGATGCCAACTTTGGTTATTCTAGCTTTTATAGTTTCTGAGATCCTCGCGTTCATCCAGACGGACGGACAGACGGACGGACGGACGGACATGTCTAGATCGATTTCTCTCGTCATGCTGATTCAGAATATATATACTTTATGGGGTCGGAGATGCTTCCTTCTGCATGTTACATACTTTGCACAAACCTAATATACCCTTTTTACCCTACGGGTACAGGGTATAAATATGCCATATCAAATGGGATTTGCCGCTGGTAAATTAGCACACTGCCCATTTGCGTTTTGTGTGTCAACTCCCAAATGTACAATACAAAATGCAACTCTTAGTTAAACGCATATGCATATTTAAAGTGCAGTTCCATTTACTACACGCACATAAATACTATAGATGTATTTGAGCAACAATGTTTTTTGTGCTTGTGTGCGCTGTTGTGTGGAGCTTTAGAGAAAATTAGTTTTGTCATTTAAACAGTCTTGCTCAATTCATGGCACAAGTATTGTGGCACGCAAATTATGCGCCATGGCAACAGCATGCAAATACAAAAATACAGAAAATGGAAAAGAAAACTGCCAACAGCAGCGGGTGGTGCAAAAACTTATTTAATGCTTGCCATTTTTTATTCAACACAGAACCCACCATCATTGGTAGACTCACCACCCCAACTCTGAGAGGCGACCACCGATGCAAGTAGCTGCAGCAGCATTCAGAGGCGCCATTTTGTTTGGCTAGTTGACGCAGTGTGTTCTTGCGTGAGTTGGAAACGGAAATGCGCACATAATTCTATTAGAAAGCGCACAAGAAAATGGCGAGCTTGCTTATTTGCGACTCAGGCGTCGCAGTTGAATTTTAATTAAATATTATTAAATACGATTACATTTATATATACTTAGTACATTTTATAACTGCGACATTGCATTGCGAGATGCAAAAAACAGAAAGCAAAAACACGTCACAAAAATACTCAACAAAGTTTCCTGGTTAATTTATTTTGCTTTTTCATTTTTCTATTTTTTCTTAAGCAGCAGCAAAAAAAAAAAAAAACACAAATACGAGTACATAAATGCAGCAGATGAATAAAAACGAAACTAGTTTTCCAGTCACGTTCATTTTCAATCAAGTGCAATCATTACAGGCCAAACAAACTCGATGTGGAAAGAA